CTGCAATCGTCATATCTTTACACATTCGGTGCCCATCATGTAACGCAGCAGCGTCCCCTTCTCTGACACTAAGTGTATGTTAAGAACATAAATATGTGTGTATTATTCGCAAATCTATTTACTATTTGTTAACTGTTTCCTACGTATCGTAGTTTTGAGCTAAATGTGATGTTTGATTTTGACCACTGTTTGTACAATGAAGTTACGATATTTACAAAATATGTAGAATTAATAAAAGAAAACATATGCATTAAAATCAATACATATTCCCTGTGATTTAAATAGATGTTTTGTAACACACCGTTATAAAATTACACATTTTACATGAAACGAATTTTAACAAACGTCTAGCCCTTGCGGAGTTAGTGTCTATTGGTCTGACCTTTGACCACTTGCAATGAATTTGACCTTTTAAGTGCTAACCGTGGAATGGTACATAGTGCTTGACACACGTATGAGTCGTGCTCGTACGTTATACACTAATCAGGGAAGTTTCATCAATAAAGTTTTAGCATATGTTTATGAGTAACTACATTGCGTTGACCTTTGACCGATTGGAAATACGTTGACCTATGAACGGGCGTGGACAATGACTAACAAATGAGTGATCATTTAGCACGACCAGACATCTATATGTCAAAATGTCTAAGTCTGGTGTTAGGGCCAGAGGAAACTCGGGCTAAGTGACCATTTTGAGTTCAGTATGCTTTGGAGGCTGGGAGAATTATACAGCTGTACAATCTTCGTATTATAAATCTGCACTCTCTCTCGTAAAACGCATGGCCAACCATTTGGTGCGGCTACGTCTTGTTTACTATCCGGTGGCTATACGTTATCACATCGTGGCCACGCCTGACGTGATAGATATTTCTCTGTTAAAATGGAGGAAACTATAAGAACACAATGATGCAAGTGGTAACTTGATGTCCATGCTTTAATTCCGTCTTTTTGTATTTCAGAGTTATCATCTCTTGAGAGCAGGTATTGAGTGTTACGTCATTGGTTTGTGTGAGAAAATTACGTCGTTTTTTTCAAAAATTGATGACGTTACTCTCACAAACAAATGACGTAACAATCAATATCTGATCTCAAGAGAAGATAACTCTGCAAAGACGGAATAGTGCATCTTCGATACCCCAGGGGTTACCAAATCAGCCACCGTAGTTGTTGTGTATTTGTCACACAAAATGTCCATGGGCATCAAACACAACCTCACACAGTAAACGCCATTACCGGAACTACCTTTATTGCTTGAACATATTACTACGCATGTACACAATATGGAGGGACCCGGGGACCTATATCCGGAATATACAACAGTAGTTACGTTCACTTTCGTTCTCTGCAACCCTGGAATCATCCTCGATATCCAGGGGTTACGCTCACTTTCGCTCTAGAGCGTAGGTGATCGTAACCCCTGGAAAACGAGGATGCCCTGGAATATGTCATGGCAAAACTGAAGATCCAGATTCAGATTATTGTATTCCTTGTATATTGGACACATTGGAGAGTAGACATTCAATGACATACAGAGAGTACAGTAAATTTCAAATTTACATGTATACAATTATATCATGCATATTATACAATGGCAAACGTGATATCAATGCACCATATGCATATTACAATGAAATACACCAAAAATAGTATGATACCATGACATCATAACAATATAGTATGTTACAGTGATAATAATACTATAATATCTTTCAAAGCCGTACGTCAAAGGTAATGATAACAAGATATAATACAGTGACCTACATTGCATCTCAAAGACGAACCGTATATATCACGTTGAAATATACTCTAGTGGAACAGCAAAGCGCAATAAAAACACTGCAATAGTGCAGAAAGTCGTGATAGTGACGTTAGAGGCAATGATATAACTTACCACCTTCGATATCCATGGTTACGCTCACTTTCGCACTCTGCACCCCTGGAATATGTCATAAGACCAGAAGGCTAGTTTGATCCTTTAATGGATGTGCATCTAAAGAACTTTGCGGTCGCGTAACGTTAAAACTTATATGTTTTAAGTCGGGCGCCCTCTTCTGTTATCTTCAAAGGACAAGCATCAGTCTAGCGATTGGTCAGGTTTTTTTTTTTACTTTTTACCTGACACCAATCAAAAAACAAGCTGTGTGCATGCCTTCGATTTTGCTATGACATATTCCAGGGGTGCAGAGAGCGAAAGTGAGCGTAACCATGGATATCGAGTATGCACCTAATCAAACTAGCAAGTAGACATGAGAAGAAGTGTCTTTAGGAAGAATAGAGTTGATGCGTGTACTACAAAGCTTATGTGTCCTAACTATCGCGATACCCTTAACTGACGGAATGGAAACTTCCAATCCTGTGTGTAGTACTAAAGTCACGTATGACTCCCGACACTCAACTCAAACTCAAACCGAGAAGTATACATGGAAGACAATCAGCTCATAGAGGAAGGAAACGGGTGTGCCAAAGAAAACGTAAAACGACGAACAAACTTTCTTGTCCACTGATAATACAATGAGCATTTTGCCCATACGCTCTACATGACTCGTAGAATCACGACCAGGACAGTGACATGGAAGATGCATGCTAGTTAGTCAATTCAGGTTAAGAACGAAGATGAACCGACATTTGTTTGCAGAGTCACAGTTTAAGTGAGGCTGTAACGTGCAGTTGGGATCAATCCAGCCACTGACCAGCGCGTCTCGTGGTTATACCACAGGTGGGATCAATCCAGCCACTGACCAGCGCGTCTCATGGTTATATCACAGGTGGGATCAATCCAGCCACTGACCAGCGCGTCTCGTGGTTATACCATCGCTTGAAAATCCCTTCTTATTCCTTGTATGTAACACACGGCCATTTTTCATTGAACACCACATGGCAAATTGACCTCTTAACTGGTCCATTTCCAAGAGAGTCACTTTTCTACAGCTCCCCGTTGAAAACTTACCTCACTTTCATATTGCACGGGTGCCCATTTTCAACGTTACGCCGATTCGTGAAGGATAATTTATACGTGGATCATATCTTTCGTAGACTTCGGTGAAGTGTCTTCATGTGCAAGACATTTCTGAAATTTTCCTTATTAGATTGGCGGTTCTCCATGGCAACAACGTGTTCTTATATGAAGTGACTACACCAAGACACTGGCGTCCGTCGTCCGTCGTCCGTCCTTCCACAATTTCTTCAAACTAAATGGAAAATCCTCTAGTTTTACTTGAAACATAATCGAGCTCAGACAGTAACCTAGAATTATTGCTAGCTCAAATAATTAAGGTCACTGTAACCTACTTTATAATATTTGACCAACAACATGAACATTTCTTCGGGTTCAGAAACTAACACATAGCTGTCGCTCAACCAAATAAGGTCACAGTACCCTACTTTTTAAATCTCAAGATATTTATTAAAAATGGCTATCGGCTCCAGAATTTAACTTAAAATTGTTGTTTCAACGAATTTGGTCACTATGGTCTACTTTTCAAAATTTGACATACTTTATTGAAATATTGTAATTCGGTTCAGGAATAAATTAACATACAGCTCTCGTTAACCAGATTAGGTCAAAATGACATACTTTTAAAATATGACCTGCATTATCAAAAATTGTGATCGGGTCCAGAAAATAACCTAGATTTACTGTTTCAACAAATTAGGACCTTTACTTATCTCACAACATAAGTAAACATTTGAATAAGTTGTTTAACCAAATTAGGTCACATGGACATATGTTGAAAAGTATCAAAATTGTAATTCGTTTCATAAATTGACATAGAATTGTTTCTCGACCAGTCATGTCAGTGTGGCCTATTTTACAAAATTTGACTTATATATAACACACTAAACTACAATTGTATGTATACACTTTTATATTATCCGGTTATAAGGACCAGAAATCAACATTTAAACATGCATATAATTAACCCCTTCAAAATTCTCCGACGGAAATTTCGTCGACATACATCGTTTGTACTGGTTTTCTGATATGTTCACTTTAAAGTCATCATGATGTACTCTTAAAAATGTTTCTGAAAACATGGATATAACGTGCGCAAGTGCTTAAACACGAGACACAAATCAATAAACGGAAGCGACGCAAGGATATAACTTTAAATAATTATAGTGTAAAAAATGTTCACCGGGTTCAGGAATTAACCTAGAAATGTTGGTTTGACAGAATAAGGTCACAATGCCCTAATTTCAAGATTTGATTTGTCATCGGTTCCAGATAGACCTATACATAAAACTGCGGTTGTTTGGTCAAATAAGATCTTCTTTCTAAAATTGGACCTATGTACATTATTAAATATTTTCATCGAGCTCAGATTTTTACAAAGAATTTTTTTTCACCAAGTTTAGTCCGACATTGTGATCTTTTTTCAAAAATTTGATCTGCATCATCAAAAATTGCCGTCGTGTTCAGAAATTAGCCCAGAACTAGCTGTTGTTAACACTAATTAGGTCACTGTAACCTACTTTCCAAAATTGAATATCAGATTCGTCATAAAAACAATATCATTACTGCATCCATGCCATACCTCTAATGGTAATAAAAATCTCAACACCTCCTGCATTCCCTTAATTATAGATTGCTTGGCTCGGTAGAATATTTCGGTTTAATGTAATAGGTTAAAAGTAAAGAATAGGTGTCAGCATTGTATATAATTTTACAACAATTGCAATATAATAGATAGTTGAAAAATGCCGGGTATGGTTCGCTTATTGTTCTCATTGGCTGATTGTTCACATTGGCTGATCGCAGTTTCTGAGTTTGTGCGACTCTGAAGAAATGTGTGTTGTTTATAGATCGACTCTATGTTGGAAAAGGACCCTGGAACATTACGACACTTAAGCCTGTTTCTTGTTGATGTGAAATGTGAAATGTTATTTGTTTATTGATCTAATCATTAGCATTGCTGCAATACATATAATTTACTTCCGTGTCACTTCACCTGTCAGTCTAGTTTCCCTCCAAGTGACGTCATTATTGTGTCTGGCACATGCTACCCAGAATGCACTTCCAAATCAAAAACAATGTCGATCGCCATGAAGTGAAAGAACGGATAGGAGGGTAAGAAAAATCCGATGCCATCTAGGTGAGCTTTGAGACCATCATGTCTTTATTTGTAATGCATATACGTGAAAAGAAATTGAATTTTGCATATTTCCATTCATTTTCTTGTTATGATTTTCCAGGGCGGAAATAAATGACTATAAATAACAGCTTCCTGTCTCGACTCCCGCCATGTTATTATTTATCGTTCATTGATAATAGAGTATTGCAGATAACTGACGAAAACGCCTGTGTCATGCATTATTTTGTCGGTTTGCATCTTTCAGGTCGTGTAAAGGTTAGGATAGAATGTGTTGTAAATGCCAGTTTTAAGAATGAATGACGTTTCGTGGAACAACAATCCTGGGATGTTGGGAGGACAGCCAGAAATGGCGGGTGTTGTTGGAAGACAACAGCACCCGAATGTGAACATGGGAAATAGATCACAGCATTCCCAAGACGATGCTACTGTGGGTTATTTCTTCCAGCGTCCGCATAACGAAGCAGAAATGAACAGTTATGGAACGAAACGCTGGGCCGTCGGAGATGACAGTGTCATCGAACAGGTAAACAAACGTGTGATTGTGTATAGCCCCACGCACATGTGTGTATTGAGAGTGGGTCACGGGACGAGTTGCATGTACGCAGGGTTTATGTTGAGCATTCCCCATGATATAGGGTTTAGATTAACATGACAACTATTAACTTTACATCAACATATTGTTTTTAATATTTGTTTACATGTCCATAATCAAATGCCACTTCATTTGTTGTAATAATTGGCGGAATGTTTTAAAGGGTTAATGAAGGTTGTTTTGTACACAATTAACTTTGATGTGCTTTTGTCACACACATGTCAGTCAGTCCGATACGATTGGTAAGATATTTTATTTTAGTTGATACCAGTTCAGTCTTGATATCTGTGATATTGGCAGTAAAATATTTCCCAAGTATTAACAATAAAATCTGATCTGTAGAAGAAACATTTTAACAACATTATTGACAATGCCCTTATATTACCAAAAAACCCCAAAATACTGTTGTTAATTGAATACAGAAAGCTTTGTTGTGCAGGGGTCGAAATTAGCACTCGCACACTCGCCAAATGCGAGTGGATTTCCGAAATTGCAAGTAGAAAAAAATGGCACTTGCAATTTATTGCGAGTGGATTATATTTCGGTCTTAGCACTCGTGAAAGGGTACATCAAATTTTCCCCATTGTTAATTTCAATGTTGTCAAACACAACTTAAGTCCGATCCAGGAGTCGATGCCAAAACAAGACATCGTAGGCAAAATTATATGTTTACGGTACAGTCAAAAACAATGATGCACAGTCTGTATAGCGCTTGTAACAAGTGTAACTGTCAAGCACATTAATGACGTAACATGCTACATCGATAATGATAACTCTAGAGTGGTTCCGTGAAATTCTTTTACTGTTCTGGGTGTTTTCGTCTGCAAAAATTTGTGTTGTGAACTGGTTGCCCAAACCCAGTGCAATATGTGGTGATATCATGAATATCACATATAATACTGGATCAAAAGTGGTGTCAATACCTTATTTAGAGTCGTGTTTGTAACAATGCAACTTTAGCTCAGAAGAGCTATTCTTATGACTATTTTTACAATCATAATTAATAGAAACAATAAAATATCACAAAGGTAGCATGCATCACAGATGGTTGAATAAAAGGTAAAATAGCACGGTAATTAAAGGTCATGCGAACATAAAGCTCATGCAACATATAAATTAATTTAAGAGACATTTCAGTCTAATGTACATATATGCCAATATGGCAAAAACAAAAAATTGACAGAATACATGCTAATATAGCATAATCTAAGACAATGCATACATTTATGAAACAATATTCAGGAATTTACAGCATAAAAGAAAAATTACACAAAAGAAAGTAAAGCATCACTATAAGAACTAAAACTTGTGCATGACAACTATTTCTGGAGCAATAAAAACGCAAAAAAAAACAAAAACATATTTTTTTGCTATATTGTAGCAATACAGGGCCATTACAATGGCCCTTCTTAATTTTGATATTGGCTAATAAAATTTGCTTAAATGGTCTACTGCTCTCAAATTCAAGAATTTTCTTTGCACCGTGATATAGAATGTCGGAGCATGCCAGTTTTCCCAAAATTTTCCCCAGTACATCTTTTGTTTTTTATGGTTTTATTTTAAAATAAGTTGGCAGCTGGTGCATTTCACTCGTGACTTAAGTATTAACTCAATAACCAAAGATGTAATTCCATTCAATAGATGTACCGTATTCATGTGTAAGTGTTTCTAGGTTGGGGAAAAAACGGTTACTTTTATTCAAATTGAAAGTGGATTATATGTACAATGGATTTTTAATACAAATAACAATAATTTTTCAACGTATCACAAAATTGCTGTTATCCTCAAATAATTCACCATTATGGCCAAAATAATTTAAATGAAGTTGATTTACCTGAAATTGCTCTTTTCCAGAGAAATATGGCGACTGTTCAGGAACTAGAGAAAGACTTCCATGGGATGTCCGTTCGTGAGGTAAGCATACTTGTAGATGTAGTAGAAGGAACCAGTTTTTCCTGATCTTAGAGATGGGTCATAACAAGTCAAAAAGAAACATCCTGATTCCCTTTTCATTGTTATAATAGCTGATAATACAGAGCGAGTCATTTAATTTTTCTGACTAAGATTTTGTAATTGCCATGAGGTGGATCTGGACCAAACAGAAAATTAGCTTATAGACATACATAGATGTGTTCAACTTAATGCAGTGTTGAGTGTTCCAACTGAATTTTAGATTTTGGGGTATATTTGATACATTTTCAAGATATTGTACCCCTAGTTACAAAGAGCAATTGTTGAAACCAATTCATCAAAATTAAATATTTAACATTTTACAACTTTATATAAAGTATATGATATAGGTGTTGAGTTCTGCTTGTTTCAACTATTTCTTAATTTAATAAATCATACTGCTGTTTGAACAAATTAAAAAGAGTAGGCATGAGGTGGGGAAGGGGAAAGCTATTCTTCTAACTGTACGTGTGTAAGATACATGTGTCCAATACAGAACACTTTGGAATATGTGTGTCCCTCATGAGTCACTCAGTGACCTAGATCTAAGGACTTTCACCATATGTGTACTCTGACCTTTTCTATTGTGATGTCACAAGTAGGTGACGGTATTGTATTATAACGTCACAGTTGAAAGCCTGTCAAAAATCGCTATAATTCGTCTAATATAATTGGTGATGTCTGTTAACTATCTAGGCTTCAATCTATGTTTTGATTTTCATAGGTGACCCGACAATTGAACCAAAATAAGAAATACAAATACTGAAGTAGACGGTAGCTTTGTATTCAGAAAAAAAATGTCAAACATCTGCTGACCTACCTTTATTGTTTTTGGCCATCAAGTTTCAATGCTTGAAATAAGTAAGCTATGTGAGAAGCCTTTATCAATAAAGGACTGTCAAGACAACTTTTAGAGAACTTGAAATAACTGCTGTTACAGTAAGATAGATGGCAAGTGAGCAGGATGCATCCACAGACGTGTTGTTTTGATAACTTGAATTACCTGAATAATCTTACGAAATCTGTGATGCAATGGCTTTTGAAACATAGATGAGGAGCAGTTATCATTTTGGCATCAAAATTATAAATAGCACTTGGTTTCCCAATTTGCAATAATTTAATTTGATGACTATATCACTATTGAAGTTTAAATTAGGAACAGCATTATTCTGATAAAAATTGTCTATTTGTTTACTTTTAAAATGACAACAGGTAACTAGGCCTGGTTAATTTCATAACCAAGGGAATTTTTTAAATAACAAACATAAATCACCGATTTCAAAATCAATAAATAATTTTTCAAAATGAATTTGATTGGTTGGAATGTGATCATTTATTCCCAGACATATTCATTTATTTCTATTATGATGTTCTTGGAAGAAAAATACTTAAGTATTTGCTAAAATTATCCATTTTTTTGTGTCAGACTATTTTGTTTGTAGTTTGTAAAAAATAATAATGATAAATAAAAAGGCATGAAAATTAGCAATACTAATGTAATGTCAATATTATCAAATAATGCTAGTTATTTAAAACATTCATTAATTATTACTCCCCTCTTTCACCAAAAACGGGGGATATTAATTTTGAGTCTGTCTGTCGGTCGCGCTTCGTTTCCGTGCAATAACTACAACAAACGTTAACCAATTTTCTTCAAACTTGGTCAAAGGGTTAAATACCTTAAAGGCTCGTCCAAGTTTGATGACCACTTTCAGCAGACCCCATTTGGTGGAGTAATGTCCCCTTGAATAGCAAAAAAAACCCATCATTATCTGCTGGGTTATGTTTCCATGCAATAACTGCAACAAACGTTAACCGATTTTCTTCAAACTTGGTCACAGGGTTAAATACCTTAGGGCTCGGCCAAATACGATGACCACTTTCAGCGGACTTTATTTGTTGGAGTTATGGCTCCTTGAATAACGAAAAACGTCATTATCTGCCATTTCTGTTCATTAACTCTCGCAAATATTATCCGATTGTCTTCAAACTTTGTAACAGGTTTCTGCGCATTAAGGGCTCAGCTTAATTTGACAACCACTTTAATCGGACTCCATTTGGCAGAGTTATGGCCCCTTGATTAACGAAAAACATCATTATCTGCAGTTTCCACTTAATAACTCGAGCTAATATTAGCAATTGTCCTTCAAACTTGATAACAATGTTTGTGTTCCTCTGTCTTTCCACCCATCTCGGGCACTCTTTGGTTTACGTGTGGTAATTGCTGTAGATATTGTTAAGATGTTTCAACCAAATTCCTCATGCACATCCAACTCATGCTAAGTTTGCCAACCGATGTGATTTGTGCATATTTACGGATAATCAATGAGGTATAGGACTCTTTTTTTTTCTTCAAGATTCAAGCTATACGTTATGTCTCAACAGCACGATACTCGCATGTTTAAACCTAACCTTAATAATGTTAACGTACGATATGTCCTGCAAGCGGGGGATGTTAATTCCACGAATTTGCTTGTTACTCTAGTTTTGAGTTCTTTCTCAAAGTGGCAATGCACATGATAGATTGGTTGTGATGCGGAAATGGTTGGCAGTGACACGGTTAAAAAATAGATACCATAGCGCATAAAAAAAATCCTGGGTAGAACACTGAATATGGGGAGTAATTTTCATCAGATTAACTTCAAACTTCATAGGAAGGTTGATTACCATGAAATTTCGGACACAAGCCAATACCACAGTTGTCTGACTTATTTACCGAGTTATGCCTCATTAATCAGTTGGTGAAACAGTGGCTCAATATCTGGAATAATTTTCAATGGATTAATTTGAAACTTCATGGGAATGTTAATTACTATGAAAGCTCACAGTAGCTTGATAACCACTGTTGTCTGACAAATTTCAGATAGTTTTCAGTTGCAATTGGCTTGGCTAAGATTATAAATTAATCCTCACAGCCAGTATACGTAAAAGGGTTGAAGTGAACTTAATTTGATGAGGGTATGGACCATGTTTAATATTCATTTGTAACAAAAACAGGAGAAAGTGTGTGTCCTGTTACGATCGTAACATAAATGTAAATTTATAGGTAACCAGTTTTATTAGCTCACCTGCCCAAAGGGCAAGTGAGCTTATGCCATGGCGCAGCGTCCGTCTGTCCGTCCGTCAACTTTTCCTTTAAAACGCTACTTGTCATGAACGGCCCAGTAGATTTGGACTAAATTTGGTCTGGATCATCCTTAGGCCAAGGGGAATCAATTTTGTATAAATGATGGGTCTGGCCCCCCTGGGGGCTGAGGGGCGGGGCCCAATAGGGGAAATATAGCAAATTCTTTAAAATCCTTCTTCTTCTGTAGGAATGAAAGGATTTGGTCCATATTTGGTCAGAAGCATCCTTGGGGGAAGGGCAACAAATTTTGTATAAACCGTGGGTCTGGCTCCCCTGGGGAATTATAGCAAATTCTTTAAAATCCTTCTTTTTCTGTAGGAATGAAAGGATTTGGTCCATATTTGGTCAAAAGCATCATTGGGGGCAGGGGAACCAATTTTGTATAAACCGTGGGTCTGGCCCCCCTGGGGGCTGAGGGGCGGGCCCAATAGGAGAAACATAGCAAATTCTTTAAAATCCTTATTCTGTAGAAATGAAATGATTTGTTCCATATTTGGTCAGAAGCATCATTGGGGGAAGGGGAACCAATTTTGTATAAACCGTAGGTGGGGGCTGAGGGGCGGGGCCCAATAGGGGAAATATAGCAAATTCTTTAAAATCCTTCTTCTGTAGGAATGAAAGGATTTGTTCCATATTTGGTGTGGTGCATCCTTTGGTAAAGGAGAACCCCCCCGTGGGACCTGAGGGGCAGGGCCAAATAGGGGAAATATAGGTAAAACCTTTATAATCCTTCTTCTCCCATAGGGATTAAGGGATATTATCCTAATTTAGTCTGGAGCATCCTAAGGCAAAAGGGACTCAATTTTGTATAAACGGTGTGTCTGACCCTTCTGGAGGTAGAGAGGCGGGGCCCAATAGGGGAAACATAGGTAAAACCTTTAAAATCCTTCTTTTACCATAGATATTAAGGGATTTTATTCTAATTTAGTCTGGATCATCAATGGGCCAAGTGGACTCAATTTTGTATAAGCATTCAGTGGGTGTGGTCTCCCAAGGGGCAGAAGGGTGGGGTCCAATAGGAGAAATAGAGGTAAAACCTCCAAAATCCTTCTTCGACCATCGGGATTATGGGATTTTATCCTTATTTAGTCTGGAGCATCCTTGGGTCAAGGGGACTCAATTTTGTATAATTGGTGGGTATGACCCCCCCCCCCCCCCCTAAGTTGTATATAGGGGTGGGGCTCTGTTTGAAGTTTGTTCTCACTATATCTCAAGTACTGGATGGATTTTTCTGAAATTTCATATGTACTTACAGCACCTACTTCATACCAATTATTTTAAACATATTCAGGTGAGCGATACAGGCCCTCTGGGCCTCTTGTGTTGTTCCTCAAAGGCATGCCACAGGTTTCATCAATTATTGGAAAAAAAAGTAATTTTGATGGATTTAGATCGTTCACCATGCAGTAAGATAACATTTGTTCGTTGCTGAAAGACATCATATAAATGTCGTCTTCATTACAGCCGTCGCACATTTATCGCCTGGTGACATCAAAGCAATATCAAACCACTGAAACTTTTGTAAGAAATGAAAACTACTAAATATTTCTTGTTTCAACTTTAGAATTAGGCAGACCACATTTTCTTTCGTCTAAACCAACAGCCTGTTGGTCAAACAGGTGAAAAATAATCATCTGATGATTCTCCAAGTGGATGTCATTTAAAAATATCAATGCAAACATGATGATTCTCCAAGCGGATGTCATTTAAAAATGTCAATGCAAACATATAGTGTCATACACATTCTTGCTATTCGTGTTAGATAGCATAAACTGGTCACTTCAAATCACGAGAAAAATGACCTAAAAGTTAACAATGTACATCCCATCACGGACGTAACATATCACTGCTGGACATTTTAACCAATACTGAATTTTGCCTCATGTATATAATTTTCTAGTTCAAGTTATTTGGTATCCATTCTTTTGAAAGATGTTGATCCAGAAGGAAACTAAATATAATGTAAATTCCTAAATTGGCAGTATTAACTCATTTACCCCTGAAATTTCATTATTATTCATTCCTTTGAATTGGAAGAGTTCAAATGTGTCTTCAGGGGTGAATTAGATAAAGTCATTTTAAGATTTGTTAGCTTGACAAGTATTGTCGATTCCAAACAATACTATTGGAAAAACATTGATGAAAAAGTTGTAAACTCTTATCTTTAAGATAACCATTTTTTGCCCCCCAATATGTTTATATAACTGATCTTACATTGAAGTGCAGATATAATTTCTGTAGGAGGCGTAGTCTGGAGATCACATTACACTATTGTATATAAAACAGCTGTAGTTACACACAACTTTGAATGATAGTTTGAGGTCCACCAATTCACTTGCTTGGATTCAATTTGGTAACCATGACAGCGATGAGTCATCATCTGTTGCTGTTTGAATCATTGGTGAAATGTGTGTGTGTAGGCAGTGTGTTTGTGCTGCAATGCCTAGGAGAAGTCTGTCTGCCAGAGAAACTTCCTCTTATCTATGTATCTGGTATATCTCTTACAAAGACTTAAACATTTTATTGATTCATATTATTTATCGAGGATTAATTGGTAGCTTTTAGTTTATTGGTCAGGGTAATATTTGCTACCCCTGACATACTCGACTAGCCCTGGATGTTTGGGTAGAGGAACTGGTCTAATTTGTTGGGATTTAATTACATATTTCCATACAAGAAAACTGAAGTCTGTAATGTTATTTCTGATCATAATCATCAGGCTATTTATATACAGAGGTCAAACACAACATGCTTAGGTTTGGTGATAGCGCTACATTTCTCTTTAAGTGGGGTCTCTAGTGATTGATCTATATATGCTTTGCCTTAATGGAGAGTATTTGAGAACCATGGAAAATAAAATGAGGTTCCGTGTAAATTTTCACTTATTTTAATACAAAAAACCACTTCTACTGGTGTTGCATGGAGTCAGCTGGCTATAAGACTACAGGAAGTCAGGTATATAGGGAACCTGGGTTTATAAATAGAATCACTGACAGAAATAGCTCAGTTTGTGTATAGGACATTTAAGTAGAACAACCTTATACTTATATAGATAAGTCTAGAGAAAACTGTTCAGTGCACAATTCTGGGGCAAGTAGGCCAGAAAAATCAACTTGCCCATATTGATATGGCTTTCAAAGTTTCAACCAATCTGACATGTACATATCATTACAATTGATAAAATAATTGTAATATCCAATAAAATTTTGAGCACTGCTGTTACAATGCTAGAACTGAAGACGGTTTGTTTATTTCTTGATCAATATTTCCATCATAATTTAAGGTGATAGATCTATAATGTAATATTGTACATGTAAAGCAAGAACGTTCAATGACTGAATTTTTTTAATTGAAAATTCGAAATATAAGTTAACCTGGTTGTTAAAAATTAATAAGTGCTGTGCATTTATGATTTTTTTTTACACACAAAATGAGTTAGCTACAGGCTTCTATGGAATATTTTGATATAATTTACATTAACTTGCAAATATGGATGAAATGACCTTACAACTGTCTTTTCGTATTGTAATATTGTTTGTGCATGCTTTCCAAAGGACGTAGTTAGAACGGTAGTGTAGTTCAAGGTCACATACAAATGCACATATGGAGATCAATAGATTTAATTTCCCCAAAATGTTAAGAGAATGGAAATGTATTTATATAGTTGTAAAACAATCTATATGAACACAAGTTGGTTGATAAAAATAAGGCATTCCTTGAAGACATGTACTACAACAACAATACATTGGTAGGCAGCAGTATTGATTGTAATGGAGAAGTCTGTCCTTTCACACTTTGTGATCCTTGATCAGGTACTAATCAAATCAGTGTGTCTGATGAGTGACAGAGTCGGAACATTTCATTGACAGAAACTTGCGAACTGATCTCTCTCTTGGTTTAGTAAGGTACATGTATGTACCTGCTGGCTGTCTTCAAATCGACAGCTGTGTGGCCATGCTTTTCCATTTCTCTGACTCCTTGTTAATGCCTTTGTTATCCCCCTATTGGGATCGGACGAGATATCTGATAACACTGTCATCTGTTTACTCAGTCTTCATACAATGCTTCCTCACTTAAATGCCGTTAAGCTAATAAATGCAATGAAATGATTATATTTGAACAAAGTTTGAGATGAAAAGAATTTAAACTGATTGCAAATGTTTTAAAAAAAAATTTAAAAAAAAAAAATCAAGTCTTCTTACAATATAGAGAGAAAAAGCAGGTATGATAAGCTGTTCTATGCAGTTATTTGAAATAGTCGAACAAAGCTAATTTGACTAACTGCTTAAGTTTAAAAAAAAAAAGTGGAAAAAATTAAAACTCTAAAGACGATATAGGGAGAATGTTTTCTGGCTTAATTATACACTGTTCGTCAGTAGAAGCAGAATGTCTGGGATTGATTTTGAGGTAATTGTCGGTTGTCAGGGTCAGTGTCTGTTACTATAAATAGAATTTCGCTTTCCTTTTATTCTGATTTTAATTTTATGAACTGGAGATGTTGCTGTTACTGGCAATAATAAGTTCAACAGCCAAACTCATTCAATTAATTATTCAGTATGGAACCTTTGTATTCCCTAGTTTCCGCCAAACCAATCAGCCAAAAAGTTGTTATGGGATGACCGAGGCAAGCACTCTGGGGACCAAGGGAAGCCGGTCTTCCCCAGTCCGTGGACAACGGATGTCAGAGAGGACACCTGGGGAAATCCCCAAGGTAATGTATTCATAAAAAAACATGTAATGCTGTGATATTTTTGTAAGGAAATAATTGTTTGTGGGACATAACGTTGAATGCTGCTAAATTTTCATTTTCTGTTTGTAGTAGTGGTCTTTTACTTACGTTAAGTGCAGTAAGCACAGATCAGTTACTCTAGTAGTGATACTACTTATAGATTTGATATTTCCAGACTTTTTAGCGGAACCTTGTAGGTCTGGACACTAAGTAAATGGTCCCAAAATCAAATATGAATTATATATTGTTTCTGAAACAAGTAATGAAGGTGCTTGGAATCCAGTATATCGTGGTCTCGATTTCTGAATATCAGCATCAAGTTATTTTGTATTAAAGTTCAGGTAAAGGAGATTCTCAGTATATGGTCATCATCTTTAGGAGAGTGATAAAGAAACCATTAAATAATTGATGTTGTGTATTTACTTTGACAGAGCCTGTTGCCCTTGGAGTAGATTTAGTGGAGTACGTTTTAGGGGGCGGGTCACCTGGAAACAAAGACATTGATCCCAGGATGAACCGGATGCCAAAAGGACCCTATGTAAGTCTACACACTTCGCTTGCCGGTGGCAGAAAATTCCACTCAACATGCACTTTTTCTTCAACCTGCTGATCCCGAAATATAAAATACTTTTATTTTATAAATACAACCCCCTGGTTGGCTGGCCGCTCACTACCCACAATATCATGCCTTGTTTCCGGTAGGGTGGAAGCGATGTATCACTTGTGGCATCATCCCAGAATTTAAAGGAGATTTTGAATTTTGTATTGTTTTCAGTCTTTATTGAGGATGTAAACTCTCCTTGCATTAGTAGATTTTAAATAAAAAGAAATTCACTAAAATGATGTAAATATCGTTCAAGCTTATTTAATATTTAAGCTCAGTAAGGCCTAATTCTTTAAAGTATATAAAGTGCTTACTTCTGTGACTTTTTTCCAGCAGAATCTGTTGAACAAGGGAGGGGTAGGCTAATAACTGACTAAGGGCTTCTTACTAAATGTGGGCTTATTATCACCAGGCGAATCTGGTTTGTTTATGATAATGTAAATTATCTGTATGTATTGTCATATGACTTTGTTCTCTAGCTTTTCTTTTCCATGCATAAGTTCTAAGTTTAGTTTTTGCCATCCATACCAATAGTATATTTATTGTGATTGCGAATTCATGCTGTGTACACATACAGTATATTGTAATTCTTCTGTGAAATGTGAAATTGATACTTGCTGGGGCTAGTGTAGGTTTTTCAGGTAAAAAGTAAATATTTTTCAAAGTGAATGTTGCCTGTCTTCAATAGATCTTCTTCTTACATGCAGCTTGCAACAAAATATTTTTCTGTAAGTATTTTACTTTTATTTACATTCCTGTTTCAGATGTCGAGAAAGTACCCGGTACCACAGCAAGACCATGGAATCTCGGATCAGGACAAGAAAAGTAAAACCCCGTCACCTTTTGAGGGACATGATGGCGACGAGAACAAGGAAAACATACAAAGTAACGGACTGCTTCAAAATGGGCTTGATGACGACCAGGGATATAGGTACAAAATGTACATGTGCCTGTGATGTGTTATTTTTCATGGCCTTAAAAAAGACATTACTTTCTTTGTTGTTATGCGACTGCAGAAAAACTGCTTGGTTTCCAGAAAAATATTTTAAGGAATGATCAGATTTTCACGAAAACTAGTGGGGTATATTCTGTACATATTCAGTAATGTTGCTCATACGCTGATGGTTTCTGGGTGAAATCATAGGTTTTAATGAAAATTGCCTAGTTTATATACTTTCTACTTAGTCTCTCTCATGTTTGATGCCCAAACTTCGCAGATTTTTATTGAGGCTGCTATCTGATCAATAGTACAACAGCAAATAGAACAAATACACATTCTTCAAATGGTAATCAACTGTCATTGCACATCAGCTGGCACAGGCAACACATCTTCATCTGGGGAATTCTTGTGTGAAATGTGGTGGAAACATCTGACGCCAAAAGAAAGAAAACAAATCCTTTAAAAATCTTGTTATTTTATGTCTATCCTTTAAATGGAGGGAGAAATAACGATAAGTACTGGTTTCTATTCCAATGTAATCTTGTCTGGGCCGTTATTTCTAAAAACCTTTTGACCTCTGAGGTTATAAGGAAACATTAGTTTAAAAACTGCCCGGTAAATAACAAAAAAGAAACACGGATTGAGAGGCATGTACATATATGGGTATACTTCAGATTCAGGGATATTTGTTTCTTAGTCAAATTCTCAGCAATATGTCCAGGCAATGTCCCAAATAACTCCTTCACCCCTACGTATTTAAACTGGACTTGCCTAGTCTTAGATTTGGTAAGGTTCAAATGTGACTTCAGGGGTGAATGGGTTAATGCAGTGTTTGAAATTGTAATGGGTTTACCAGTGATTGATAACTGACAGTATCAAGTTTTACAGATTTCGTCAGATAATTTTGAATAAGTTCGATATGAGAGAATTTTAAATGGTCATTGCAATGACCATATAGTTTGTATGTTTAAAATACTTTGTTTTAAAAGACATTCAGAAACAAAAAAGTTTTAGTTAACAAAGCCTTTAGTTAATAGTTAACACTTTGGAAATAATTGGGCCCTTGACCTGGAATATTTCATTTTCAGAAATCATATGCTCAATAGTAGTTTTAATGTTGACAGTAATCGTCGCAGCAGTCGACAGAATTCGCCTCCAGGAGAGGAAGGGAAGGGTATGATGGACAACCAAAAAACAGCACTAAACAATAACAACAACGAGCATGGGGACTTCCGGGATGGCCCTGCTCAACAGTTCCAGCAGCCCGGGTTTCAGCTCGATCCACCCCACTTCGAGCCGGTGGGCATTGATCCTATTCAGTTTGACTACAGCAATCAGCTCATGCAGTCCATGGAAAGTCCAAATTTCAACTTGGACTACTCCCAGGTATCAATTAAACTTCCAATGCGCCCAAGTATCATTCCCACTGCTTCATCCTCGACTGCCAACAGTTATTATGTTCCCATAACTTAAACCTTCAATCAAAAGATTTTAATTTGTATTTCTCTTATGGCCCAACTGCTTATTTCCATTAGGTATCCATCAACTGGGGTATGCAATACTGCACTGAACATCCACTAACGGATGTTGAATCGCAGTTTCCTTGTATTCAACCTTTTGTTTAATTTTGAATTTATAAATGGAAACGGTCATCTGTAATAAACCTGTGATATAATAGGACATTAAACAATATAAAACCAAACCAAACCAAACCTGTACAATATGAATCGTAAGTTATTAGTATCACCTAACCTGTGATATGTCTGTACGATACAGCAATTACTGCAGCGACAGCAGCAGCCAATCGCAGTCCTGACCCAGCAGCAGTACGCCCTGGCCACTCAGCAGCAGCAGCTCGGTACGTCTTCATATTGTACTGGTTTATCCTTAGCCCTCGCACATCATTGTTTCCCCATATTATTACCGTGTTGTGCCTGGCCAGTCATTTACCAATGTATCAATCTACTGACAAAGTTTTTCACTGTTATGTATTTCTGAAGATATGATGATACGAAATAAGAATGTATTCTCATGATGAACAATCAAATTGATCATTCTTGGATTATTTTTTTTTTAAATCTTCAGTATTAATGTATTTGCCCCTGAAATTTCATAATGAACTATTCCAACCTTTGAATTGGAAGAGTTCAAATGTGTCTTAGGGGGTGAATGAGGTAAAATTAATCGAAGTTTTGAGGAAAATAAAAGTTTTGGTGAAATGGATATTCCTGTTTTATATTTTCAATATAAATTAAAATCTGAAGATTTGGTGAATGTCTGGCTTGGGATGTTTTCCATGGAAAAGGAACAAATATGCTGGAAAAAAAGCCACATTCTTTCATAAATTGCATGCTATTTGAGGATTGTCCTGATTGCTTCAAGAAACCTGTTATTCATTATTTCTCACAGTCCATCACAAAATTATTTTCAAGACTGGGAAATCAGAATTTAACTTTTTTTTTCCTGCAAATTTTAATTGTTGTAATATGAAAGTTTATAGGCTTTCGTAGTGTTAGATTTCCCTTCCCATTGAAGTGAACCTGTAATTAGCATGCTTTTAGATTTCATTGGAATAGTTTTGTCATGGAAAACATCCCTGAGGGAATGATAACCTATATTTCTGTTGTATAATTGTTAGAGGAATTCTCTGTATTATATTCATGCAGAATTATTTTATTGCTCGGTCAGATTTGATGAATATTTTAATTTAACACATTCACCCCAGATGACACATTTGAACTCTTCCAATTCAATAGTTTGATTAGTTCATTATGAAATTTCAGGGGTGAATGAATTAAACACTAGAGAAATGTACCAGAGTTTTGAGCTGTTAAATGAAAATGGACCATTTTAACATGTTATAGTGTATGAAGATTAGAGAAATATATTCTTGTGGAATTTCATTGCATGAGTGTAGTAGAAAATGTACTTGAGTTATATAGTGGACATATATATAACAAACTATCCAATTAGCTTAACGTAACTTTTTCTCTACTGGGAAAATTATTTTGAAGTGATAAAAATAAAACGATTACTATGTGTGCTACACAATGTCAGTCGTGCATAAATAGAGAAAAGCAAACTAGAATCAAAGTCGTTTAGAAAGAAATCAGCTTGAAATTTGAAGAAAAGTTCATGCCTCCATTTTAGAACAGATATGTTCATGTTTGGTTGTTGCAGATATTCAACAGAATATTTATTCAGTCGACAAATACAATTGCTTTATTTAGTAAATGGTCCATTTCTTTAGTGTTAACATTTTAAGGTCTGTAATATTCTTTTGCAAGTGTGTAAGTAAAGCATAATATTTTACTATTAAATGTCATTGAAATACCTGTGTAATAAGGAAATCCTGTCGAGACTATTTACGTTGTCTTGCCGTACGCAGAAGACAGCTGATACATTGTATAATTTGTATCTGAACAATTTTCAACCGAAATTTAACAAAATTCTGTGTTTGGATAAATATTTCACTTAAAATTCGCTCATTGATACAGCTTTCCTTGCAGGTTAATCTAAATATATGATAAGAAATTAGCATTGGCCCTTGATATGGTTTTCCTTGCAGGATGAAAGAAATGAATATTATCATGTCTATTGTTTATGAAGTAAACAATTATAAGTTAGGGAGTCCTACAAACATATGAAAAAAAATAACTCTTCTTGGTTGGAGAAAGAACACCGAGCCCCCTGTACTACTGCCCAAAATTATAATATGAATTTGAAACTTTTTTATTGGCATGACAATAGCTTTAAGAAATCGTTTCTGCAAAAGAACCATATGTCATAGAGTTTTCATGAAAAGCAATAAAGATGACGTTATAGGAGAGAGAAAAAGTGTCATTTCATCTTGACATGTTATCATGTGACCAGTCATTCTCTCAACACTCCAGGAGTTAAGTTCACTTTCGCCTTCTGCATCCCTAGAATATGTCATAGCAAAATTGAAGGCTCAGTGTAAGCCACCTTGTTGAAGAGAAGACTAGTTTGTTCATTTGATGTACACCAAAAATATCTTACGATTGCGTAACGGTAACAGGCTTTGAAGTCGGAGGTCACTCCTTTGTAATGCATGTATCAGCCGAGCAATGGTCAGTTTATTTTTTACCTAAGAACAATCAAAGAGCTAGCTGAATGCCTTCAATTTTCCGATGAAATATTCCATGGGTGCAGAGAGTGAAAGTTAATGTAACTACTGGAGTGATGAGGATGGTGACCAGTCAAAACCACACGTGACAGATCACTGGAGGTCGGTGTTTGTTAAGGAAATTGCAATACAGCAAAACGATGTGTTTGTCTGTCTTCTGCTGTACAGCTCGACGGCACTAAAACAATGTGTTTGTCTGTCTTCTGCTGTACAGCTCGACGGCACTAAAACGATGTGTTTGTTTGTCTTCTGCTGTACAGCTCGAAGGCACTAAAACGATGTGTTTGTCTGTCTTCTGCTGTACAGCTCGACGGCAGTAAAACGATGTGTTTGTCTGTCTTCTGCTGTACAGCTCGACGTTAGTAAAACGATGTGTTTGTCTGTCCTCTGCTGTACAGCTCGAAGGCACTAAAACGATGTGTTTGTCTGTCTTCTGTTGTACAGTTCGAAGGCAGTAAAACGATGTGTTTGTCTGTCTTCTCCTGTACAGCTCGACGTCAGTAAAACGATGTGTTTGTCTGTCCTCTGCTGTACAGTTCGAAGGCACTAAAACGATGTGTTTGTCTGTCTTCTCCTGTACAGCTCGACGTCAGTAAAACGATGTGTTTGTCTGTCTTCTGTTGTACAGTTCGAAGGCAGTAAAACGATGTGTTTGTCTGTCTTCTCCTGTACAGCTCGACGTCAGTAAAACGATGTGTTTGTCTGTCCTCTGCTGTACAGTTCGAAGGCACTAAAACGATGTGTTTGTCTTCTGCTGTACAGCTCGACGCCACTAAAACGATGTGTTTGTATGTCTTCTGCTGTACGGCTCGACGGCACTAAAACGATGTGTTTGTCTTCTGCTGTACAGCTCGACGACACTAAAACGATGTGTTTGTCTTCTGCTGTACAGCTTGACGGCAGTAAATAGTTATGACAGGAGATTTACTATGTAGTTTGTTATGCTTACTTTGATTTCTGTTTTGAGTTACAACCTGATTTAAGTAATTTGTTATTCTGTTATTATCAATATTGTCTTCCATGTGACCATAGCATGCACGTCTCTGCACCTCTCCAACGCCAAAATATTCCTGTGGAATAACCAATTTTCTCCCAGTCCAGAATACGGGACTGAAGGGTTTTTCTCAACCAGGAATTCCCTTTACTGTATACATGTTACTAGGGCAGCGCTAAAAACACTCGCTTTTCTGTTGTCTGTTAATCATTTTAAAAATTGTTGATCACTTTTTAAGTCCGTATGTACACTTAACTGTTGACATACTGATTCGTGGTATAGACATTGTTGTTTGTCTTGTGAAGATAAATTATATAAATTGGTAAATTCCTATTATAAAACATTAACTTCTATTTCCTGTCCTTCAACAAACCCAAACAATGATTGTTGGTACCTGTGTCACAAACAGGTTAAAGAGATGCAGATTCGTAACAAAGAAAGACAGAAAGATTCAGCAATGTGGCCCCTACTTCTGCAGATGGCATGCACTAGTGTAGTGTCTAACCCTTTCACCACTGTAGACCATAATGGACTTGTCCATATCATCAGTACATGGTACTGTCTACCAAACTTACATAGGGGTGAAAGGGTTATTCAAGAAAAGGGATGGGGGACAACACAGCTTCATCAGTATTAAAAACAACACTGCTCCTAGTTATTGTTTTGTTAATATGCCAACTGTCAAATATGTAATTTTACCTGAATGCATTTTCCTGTGTTGTGATTTTTTGTTTCGAAGCAATATTTACTTCATTGGTCTTTGCTTTTTTCAAGATTTTTTACCATTAAAAGTTTATGAAGATTCTTTGATTAAAAAGAAGAAATTAATTGTTTTGAAACTTGGTTTTGAATTAAGATATTTTTGAAATGTGCTCTACAAAATATTTGTAAAAAGCTTTGATATCAAGCTTGCCAATATTTACCTAACTGGGTATTTTTGAACATGATTTTTTCTCGCAATTTCTCCCATTATAATATTTGTCAAAATTTGTTTTTCTAAAAATTCAAAAAAATAAAAGGTCCTTTTCCCAAAATTGTGAAAAAAAGTGTTCTAATTTTTGGGTAAATACAAAAGCTGATGACTACCAGAGCTTCTCCCTAAGTATGCCAGTGTGTTGCCTCTGTAGGAGTAGGGGTGCATTGTGCATGTGTGTGATATTTGTGCATGGCTTAAGGTGGCCGCTGTGCTCTCTATATGTAGGCTTGCCTCCTACCGCTCTCACACCAACTCCCTATGTTATCAACGCGCAGGACCCATACGCCGTTGGGATTCCCATCGCCGCAGGTCAGATATATTTTGTAATTAAAATTTTTGATAAAATAATTAACAAGTGGAATTAAAAACTTAAATCACTAAAAGACCAGGTAATTTTTGTTTTAAAATGGTTTTAGTTGTGTGAAACATTGAATTTGTTAGAATGATACGTTAAAAGTTGAGGAAACTATAGATGAAATCATGAAATAAATAATTTTCCATCATTTATTTAAGATTAAAATCCATGTGTAGATTGATACAGTCTTGCTCCATTTACTTTTAATACCTATCCTGATCCTCTATGGTCTCTACACATGCCAGTGTTTCAAATTTTACATGTCAACACATATTGCTTTCATTGTAAGTTTGAAAGAAATTGTTCTGGAAGTTGTGATAGTATTGGATAAAGTGTATCCTTTCTACCAGTAACCTGTTCTGTTCTAGACCCGGTTAAGTTGTTTGAAAATTAAATATATCAATATCTAACTTATTTGCCAACTAATATTGGTATGTTCTCAGACACAATGAATTGGTATTTTGCTGTACAGTAAACGATCCCTGTAACATACAATAATTCATGATTTTTCTGTACAGGTTAGGAGTTGCAATTCTTCCTGACGAAGAAAAGATCTTTTAGAATAAATTGGGATTAATCTGTAAGAGATAAAAAAAAATGTCCTCCTAAAGGAGAAATATTTGATTACAAATAGCTAAACAATTTTGTAATTCTTTGGTAAGGATCTATAACATTTGTTCCGTTAAACAAAATTGTAAATCTTATTTTACCGAAAATGTTCTGTTATATAAAAAACTTTTTACTTTAAGAGTCGCGACCAGACACCTTGTAATGGGGGCTGGAGTGATGTTAGCGCTTGTATCCAATTGATAGCAGTAGAGCTGTTCATGGCAAATCAAGAGTGCAAATTAAACTAGCTCAGTAGCTATTCATTTGAATCCCACTTTCTGCAGACCTCTGTTGCAAGAATGCGTCTGCTTCTTAATACTGCAAATAAATAATTCTTTTAACAACTTCTGTAAAGACAACACAGAACAGTGGTGTAATATTTTGAAACATTTGGCATGTTGAGACTTGGCACTTGAGTTTGTCCTTTCCGGCCTGACTAAGTGCTAGTGAGGGCAGAGGGGTCACTGACAGTGAGATAGCTTCCAAGGTCACAAGTTCAAATATCCAAGGTCACAAGTTCAATATCCAAGGTCACACAGTGTGTGTGTAGAAGTCTAGGAATTAAAACATCTGTAGACTAAATTGTGGCTTCATAGCATTCAAATTGAAAGATTTAAGAAAATCAGCCAAGATGTTAAAAATGAGCGAAGCCTATTATTTATACATATATGCATTTTACCTTGGATGCTATTTTAGTATTTATTGATTTTTTGATTTTTTTTATCGTTTCAACCTTTTGATTTCTATATTGTGATTTTGTGTTTTCAATGTTTCAATGTTCTATCATTTTCATGTGATTTTACCATCAACCAATCAGTATAATTTAGTTTATTTTCTATACATTTGTTTTTGATACTAACATAAAGTTTTTACATCTGTATGTATAATATATATTACCTTAATTTTCCTCCATTTTGTTTGCATTTTTGAATTATTATTTTTTTGACTAACCAGTTACAAATGATATTTTGAAATCAATCCATCTTGTTATTGTGAACCGATACCACTTGTTATCTGTGAGCCTGTGAATCCCATCAAATACACAAATAGGAATACGACTTCTGACAGGAACCAAAACATCACATGGGTCTAGGAACGCCTTAACAGTAGTTAGGTTAAACTGTCTGCAACGGCACAGGTCAGGTGTTGCACAGTTCTGTCTTGATGATGAAAATTTTAAAGCAAAGAAAAATTGATATTACTCGAGAAAAATTGCATACACAATTGAGGGAAATAGCAATGAAATAATAAAAAATATAACTTTTTATTTATAGTGAAGAGCAACATGTAACAACAAGTAAAGATCAATTTGAAATCAGAAAACGAAAAAAAAAAAGAATCTTAAAATGGTTTTGCAAATGATTAGAATTAAAAAAGGAAAATGTTTGTTCCCATTATAAATTTGGAGAGGGAATTTTCCTGAATTAGAATAAAAACTAAGAAGAAATTGAAATATTTTGACTTATTTAATAGATGAGGATTTAAAAAAATCAAAATGGAATCTGGCAGGTTTGATAAAGATTTTAAAATCCTGGACCACATTATATTGTTGATAGAATAGTAATTGGGAAATGGAGCAGGATAAAAAATAGAAAGAAAAATCTTACACCATCAATTGTGTAATTGATACAATTTAGATGTTGAATAGAAACGGACAAAACTAAAAGAAACAGAAAATCTGATGACCATGTGATGTTACTGGTATGTGAATGAAGTTTAATCTGTGTGTATTTGGTAGGAGGCCAGGTGTTGAGGGGAGATGACACCCCGCCATGTGTTGTGTATAACTCACTGTCCTCTGTAGGTCCGACCGTACTCCACCCCCAGTACTATGGTGTACAGGCCCCTTGGGGCATTTACCCTGCAAATCTGATACAACAGCAGGGTCAACAGACCCCACAGGGACTCAATCAGCAACAACAGCAACAGGTGCTCCGGGGTCAGTCCGGGCGTCCTATCACACCCTCACAGCAAAACGACAACATGGCTAGTCAACCATCCTCTCTCCAGCATCAGCCACTTCAGGCTCCAAGTAAGTTACCCATCATACCTCAAAGTAAATTTGAGAACATAGCTAGTCAACCTTAGTCTCTCTAACATTGGCCACTCCAGGCTCCAAGTAAGTAACCCGTCCAAGTAAGTAACCCATCATGCATCAAAGTAAATTTGAGAACATAGTCAACTTTCGTCTCTCTAGCATCAGCCACTTCAGGCTCCAAGTAAGTAAATATGCAAGACCACACACTTGTGATTTTCTAACGAATCAGAAAGCACTCATTTATTGTGCGTACGTATATATTCACTCGTGCGCTCCTACATCCGCGCAATAAATGAGTGCCTTCTGATTGGTCTTGCTTTTATCACATACCTTCCGTATTTGGTAGAAATCGATACAAAGATGTTATAAACTTTGATATTTTTTGCAAATACTGGGTTCCGGCTAGTAGGTAAATACATCATTCCGTATTGCACATGTGCAATACAGAACGTTGTATTTTATGGTCTGAAAATTTGTTGTATTACTATGACAAGATTCAACAGGTATGTGATACAACATTATATTGTCTATCCATAACCAACTAAAATTCCATTTAGTTTGTTTTCGGAAAACTTTTCTTGACCTCTCTTTTCTTTCCTCTCATAAAGACACTGTTATTTTTGTGTTACAGATGCCCAGTACCAGATCATTGCGCCCGCCTATTATGACCAGAATGGTCAGCTGGTGATGGGCAACCCTCGGGGCATTGGCACGCCGGTCCGTCTCGTCTCACCTGCCCCTGTTCTAGTCAGCGCAGCAGCCAATCAGCAAGGTAGCACATGTAACAATGATCCTTCTGACTTGTATTTACTTTCTGACAGAAGTTTGGTTCAGAAGATTCTTTAATGAGGAAACTGTGTAAATTGACTGTAATTTAGTTCCTTAACACGAGTGCTGCTGAAATAACTTTCAAAAGATCATTAAAGTTTAGATAAATGACACATTATTCAATGTATAACACATTGAAACATTATCGTAAGCAACAGGTCTCTTTCAGTGCCACTGCAATGCTATGAGTAGTGGTTAGGCATTGGAAACCTTCCATGTTCTCTGCAACATACCCAAGATTTCAGCACCTACCATGAACTAATGATTGGTTAAATATTTAACAATGACAAAAAACTGTAACTGAGCTTTGGAAACTATTTTACAGACAAAGAAATGGCTTTGATATATCATTTCTGAAAAGAATACACAAAGATGAAATAAACAACAGAGTTTTGAGAGTAAAAACGTGCTGTAGGGCCACACCAGGATTCAAACCCTGGACCCTCGGACATTATACATACTGCAGCTTCAACCAACTGAACTACACGGTCAGCAGTAGTATCCTTGACCAGTAGTGCTACAATTATAGTCATAGTGAAATAAAAGAGAAGTTGCTGATCCTTTAAAAAGAAAACTCACAAAACCCTTTCATTTACAGGATTAGTTTGAATATAAATATGCTGAGTGCTGTTTTGAATTGTAGGAGGGGGAAACAACTCTCTCGGCAGTAACCCACTGAGGCTGCTGACAACACAGGCCCAAACCACACCACCAGTCTACTCCAGCACCTCCACATCTTCTTCACAGAACTCGCTAGGTAAGGGAAGCAACTCACCAGGCAGGGCAGACAACCCAGTCATCTCATTTTCAAGTTTAATAGTGTGACATAAAAAGTGTTTTAACACAATCAAGAACTGCTATTTGGGTTACTTTAGATAGCTTTGGGATTGTGCCATTATATTTCCATGTTTTTTATCTAAAAGATTGTTTCCAAAATTTCTGTGCTAATTTTGTTTTTTCTTGGATGAAAAATTATGTCCAGAAATGTTTACAACAGTTTCAATTTCATGTTTCAGAAAACATGGAAATATTATATGGGCAAAATTAACCCTGTAAACTGTACAAATTTAACCCTGTTGACTAATACTGGCATGCAGAATTCAAATACTTTCCCGTTCTTCATAACAAGATTCATTTGGATCTGGTGTTATAAACTTTGTTATGAAACAGCAGTTTTGTACACTTACTAACCAAGACAGTAGTGGAATATCTATTTCTTTTTGTGTGTGACATTTCCCTATTAATACACAGAACAGTAGAAGCATGGCAGCACATAGAAATCAACAGAAAACACATCGGGCTTTTAGTGGTTTCAAGTTCAGTCATTAAGGAGGTAAACTGTGGTGGTTGAATTTTGTAGAGTAATTCTACAGCTTGGGTTGTTTGTTCAAAAGGTTCACAGGTGAAGAGACTTTCATTATGGTACTGGTGAAGTATTTGTTGCCTTGAAAAGTCCTCTGAATGTCTTTTGTGGTCCTGCTTAATTATTATCACTACTCGGGAGAAAAGCCAACAACCTGTGGCCTGTACCTGGCGACTGCCCCAAATAGGCTTTGAACCTGAGACCCATTGATGGAGGGCTAGTGATGGTTCACACTCAGATGCTTTAACCACTTATCCAAACAAGGGTGTACAATACCATAGGCATTAGCCGGGTGTCCAATGGCTGAAAGTGTTGTTAAACGTTTTGACTAGACGATGTATGAACATGTTTTGTGTCATAACTAGACAATGTTTTACAACAGTGTAAATCTGTTGCTTTGCTGAACCTCAATGTCTCTATATTACAGTCATTTGATGAGGTTAACTCATTGTAGGAAAAAAAGGATTCTTTTCAGTGGTTTTTCCTGGTTGCGTTTATCTCTGAAAGGGACATTTTCAACTACATGGCAGCCACAGAATTGGTATCAGGATGTCTTTGGATCAAGTGAAATGTTTTTTCTTCACTGTTGAAGTAGTGATGTCGGTCTGGATACTAATGTGACAGGTCTAAGTGTGTAGTTGAGATAATTTCATTTTAGGTTATTAATATTTTTGATCATATACTAACTGTAGGTTCCTCTTTGTACACAAACCATGTATCAAGGATTTTGACGTCCATTTAAGGTTTCAGTAAGAATGTCTCAATGTGGGTAAAGTTTGGATTATTGACCTATGAGGAGGTCCCAAGGAGTACTTATTCACTGTGTAACATTGATATTGTCATCAATTTAAGGTTACATTGGTCTCAGTGTTTGGATAAAGTTAGTATTATCAAGCCATGAAGGGGTCCGCAGGAAGATTTATTGGTTACATTGGTCTCAGTGTTTGGACAAATTTAGTATTATCAAGCCATGAAGGGGTCCGCAAGAAGATTTATTGGTTACATTGGTCTCAGTGTTTGGATAAAGATAGTATTATCAAGCCATGAAGGGGTCCGCAGGAAGATTTATTAACTGCGCAACGTGGATTTTGACCACCATTTTAGGTTAAACTAAAAATTATTGGTCCGAATGTTCGAGGAAAGTTTGGATTATTGACCCATGATGAGGTCCATAGGAGTACCTGTTAACTATATAACATGGATATTGACCTGCATTGTAGGCTACACTCCTAGCAGTAGTTTGGCCTACACACAAGTAACGGCCAGTCTGTACTCACCGCTCAGTGGAGTCAATCCGCAACATGGTAACTATGGCAACACTGGCTTTAGCAACATGGGGTCAACAGCACCAGGAACGATTGGCTCTGGTGGGTAGTCATAGTAACCTTTTTATAACCGGAGATTTACCTCCCCTTCGCTTTGGATTGAACTGTTTTCTGTTGTCTGTCGAGTGAAAGCCCAGAGGTTGCTTATATGTTGGAATGATACTTAATGTATTTCTTTTTGTTTTCATCAGCAAGCACAAAATTTTGTCATTTAGAAAGGCCATTTTGCACATTTTCCCCAAACACATTTGGTATTTGATATAAGTAAAGTTAATTTTCATTGATATGTACATCCTGCCTTGTGTTGTGAAGTCCAGCTTGCCTTATTCCATTTTGTGGTAGTTGATTCTTTCATGTTATTATCAGACAGTTTACTGAAATTTACTATAACTTCTTAGCATGATTGTGGTGTGCTTTTGTTGGGGGCTATTCAAGATAGGAACCTGTGTGAAGGTGGTGGGGGCTACACAGTATACGTATAATAAATGGGGTGGTGGTGTTTAAAATGATTCTTAACATTCGTGTAATGTTTCCTGGAAAAGGAAAAAAAATGTGGGTGATGGGGATCACACTAAAGTTTTTCCCATGCCACCCCACCTTCTCAAACTTGTGTATCTATTACTGGAAAAACCCATAACAAACTGGTCACTATTGGTCATTGTCAGATTAGTAGTTTTATTATCAACATTCTAATCAATACTTGACATATTAGGTCACATTTCCTTTATAATTACAAACGTATGGGTTGAAACCTTTGATATGTATACTATTTTGAGAGAGAGAAAACATGTATATCTCCGAATCCTGTTCAAAGAAGCCATCCACTAAAATGTTGTTGAATTTGATCACCGTTCCATTTGATAGTTAAACTATAATTTCAAGGTTTCTGTTTCAAAAGTTTGTATAAATAACAATTCAATTTTCAGCACACGTTTGCATGCTTGTAGTGCCATGTACGAAACAGATTTTATTGTGTTATTTTAGATGCTGGCATGGCATGAATGGAAGCTACTTCTTGTACATTTGCAATCTATTTTGTTTCTCCATAGCTGTTGATGTGTTCCCTGGTGCTTAAATCGTAGTTATAAAACAGCTCTAACTTAATTACCGTAAGACACAAAATTTGGTACTGTGAATTGCTGTTTCTGAGAAGTGAAGGTGAAGAAAATAAGTTCCTTGATCAAAGTTAGCACCATGTTTGAAGTCTTCGTAAAATTTAGTACCATTGTCTCGGTGTGCTTTGTTCTCATGCATTCCTATTGTTTTGTACTCCCTTAATACTCATAAGTCAGAATAAGAGCGAGAAAAGTCACTTATAAGTAACTTGGCCATATGGAAAGTGATTCGCGTTTCTTAAAAGACTATAAACTATCCCATGGTGCTTCAGAATTATTTGGATGGCCTGCAGCTTGATTTTAGTTGTCGTATAGATAAAGTTTGCTTATTTTCTGAAATAATTATTTAGGACCAAGTGTTTGCTTATTTTCTTCAATATTTGACACAAGGAAGCACACGAAAAATTGTAAATTCTTGTAACTCTTGTGATATGGCTAATCTGAAGCTGAATGATAATGCAGGGTCGTGCCAAGATTGTCGCTGGTCAATACCTGTATGCAAGATTAGTTACATACTACCATAAACATTGCAGCTGTGATAAAAATGGATATTATTAGTGAAAAAATAGAAATTTGACTATCGGGCTGCGTTCATGTAATCTCTGACTTTTGCATTGATTCTAGGGAAGATATTTACGAGTGGTAGCTCTTTGTGGAAATAAAAAACTTTTTATATAACAAGAGTAGAAAGTTTTGTAATGAATTTGAAATATTATACTATGTACACCTATTGCAAATTTCCTTTTATAAATATAAGAAGATGGTAAATAGATCTAGATAATCCAAAAATTATTCACAAATTTGATGTTATAAAGTGAAAAAATGCCAGTAAAGGATCGAATACATCACACAAAAGAATTGAGCCAATATTGACTTCGTCTGTATCATTGTATATTGTAGGTCAGAGACGAGACTCTATTGACTTCAAGCAGAGGCCCCAGCTACCCATCAACCAGTTCTATGGGTCAATGGGTTCCATGTCTGGATCACCTGCAGGCCCCATGGGCCTTGTTCAGCCTGGTCAATCAATGACCCCACCTCCATCACTGTCGGGCTCCAACACAAACTTGGCTATCGGTATGCATGGTAATGTATCGTCCAGCCAGGCTCAGCTGTCATAAACTTTGTTTAATGTATACAAAATTCTCACCATTATGTTTAATCAAGCTTGCGATTTCAACTATATTCATTTGAAATGAATTAAAATTAACATTCTGTTCAATAAGTACAAATTTCTTACTTTTTTTTTTAGCCAAGTTTATGAATTCAGCAATTAAATTGTCAAACATTCCAAATTATTTTCAATTTATATGGTGGTTGAGGTTATAATTTTACGAGTCATTAAAATAAATAAGAACCTTAATTTATAAGTTAAATTAGGATCATGATACAGACCTTAAATGCATGAATACAAAATACAATTTCATTAGCTTTACACAGTTCTGTCTTAATGAAAACTGATCCCTCTCAATGTATCATATTATTTACAGGTATGACGGCTGGAAATCGTCTCTACAATGCTGCACCAGGCGCAGAAACAAAATTCAGGAACGGTTCATTTGGCTCGGCCAATGGACTCTTCCCTGGCAATAGTCTCTTCCCAAACCGAGCTAACTTACATTCACGAAGGTATGTCATACATTATAATCAGGAACTTACAGCTTTACATATCTTACCAAACAGAGCTAACCTATATTACAAAAGTATGTCATATATTCTATTAAACAGGGCTGACTTTATTCACCAAAATAAGGGGAGTTTAAAACAAACACCAACCAGTTCATTATTTCTGGACTGAAATTGAACTTGCATTCACAGACATCATTTGTGTACTACTTCCCAGAGGTGCATTTCATTAATGAAGTTCTTAAGTTTTCTGCAGGGACTATGACATTCAAAACCTGGTATGTGGTAAACATAGATATCTTAAGTGTTGGTTTGAAAAATAATAATGTTTGGAAATACCATATTTTTGCTGGAGGTCTGTTTTGTTCAGTAATTGAAATAATTGTTCTTGTTACTTGCAGTGCCAGTTTGTCAAAGGAAGTAACGGGGCGGAGTCGATTGCTTGAAGATTTTCGTAACAACAGGATCCCTAACCTGACACTGAAGGACCTGACGAATCATGTTGTGGAGTTCTCTCAGGATCAGCACGGCTCTCGGTAGGTACAAGTGACCGGGTGATGTAAATTGGAATGGTCTAGCCAAAACATTTCTCTTGTCAGATTCTCAGTTGAGAAAATATATTTGTTTACATATCAATCTAATTAAAATTATATCTTCACATCGCTCCCGTTTACTGATATGTCGCGTTGAAGATCTAACAACATCCCGTAGAGGGTCACGTCAGAGGCCAACATGAATGCATTATCGTATTTATAACAAGCCAATCAAAACACGACGTAACTCTTTCTTTAAACCAATCAGAAAGCAGGACCTGTACCATTTAAGGCAGACACCTCGTAGCCAAAAATCCACTTTTTCGTCTGGTCCAGTGATAGTTTGAATATTGCGAAGCCTGTCATTGGTTAATTTTAGTTTCAGGTTGATAAACTTTTTAACGACAACATCACCAGAAGAGGAAGTCTCTCTTATTTCAAAGCAAAATCCACAAATTGTACAAACGTTGTCTTGTAGATAGACACGGCGTGGTGTCATGGGCGCCGCCATTTTCGATGCTCATTTGACACCTCTCGGTCTTTTATCATAGCAAGTGTGTTCCGAAACATATTAAAGTGAAAATTGTTCTGTTAACCAAGAAATCTTTGCTCCAGTTTAATTTTTGCCCTCCGTAATGAGTTTGGATTTATCATTACAGTGAACATAGGTAAATAACATTATATGCATTGTAATTAAATGTGAAGGATGAATTTGATATCAGGTGAAGAGGGATTTTATCATCAGAGGGTAAACCAATTCCCATTATACACAATGCCTTTCTCTATAAGACTTATCGATGGGTAAATAGTTGTATGTTTACTTCTATGTAAAGACTTGGATAAAACCTTGCAGTTATTTAAAAAGAGTCTATGATTACAAATGAACTTTGACAAACTTTTAAGCAGATAAAAATACAATGTACTCAAATTTGTTATGATTATCAAAGTTCTGTGAACATTTTGAACACCGAAAAGATTGTGTTGAAATGTAATATCAATATAAAAATAATAATAATAAAAACAGCACAGTCACAAATTATGTGTTTGACATGAAACAATAAAAAATCTCATTTTCTTTGTAGGTTTATCCAACAGAAGTTAGAGAGAGCCACACCACAGGAGAAATCCATGGTATTTAACGAGATCCTCAACCATGCCTATAGTCTTATGACAGATGTGTTTGGTAATTACGTGATACAGAAGTTCTTCGAGTTCGGAATAAGCGAGCAGAAGCAGACGTTGGCTCAGCGACTTAGAGGACATGTCCTGCCTCTAGCTTTACAGATGTACGGCTGTCGTGTGATACAGAAAGCTCTGGAGACCATTCCCTGTGAAATGCAGGTCAGTTCAAATATATAGTAGTGTGGGGTTGGCATAGCTGTCAACCCTCCCTCATTAGGAGGGAGACTTCCTCATTTTGACAAAAAATTACCAATCTCCCTCAAAACTCACTCATTCAAGTTCAAACTCCCACAAACTCAAACGTACATCCTGTGGTCAGATGATCTCCTAGTTACTGGGGGGGGGGGGGGGGGGNGTAATGATCGTAACAGGTGTGCCTGAATCAAATGAATACATTTTGGAATTATATTGATACATAAGAATTCGAAGGGAAAGATAAATTGAGCAAGGCAGTTCCAGTCTCATTTCACGCACTTTCTACCTCATTGGAAATGTGAAATGAGGGAGATCTCCACTGTAGACCTCATCATTGCTGTTTTCCTGAAATAATGTATACCCCAATTTTTTGGCCCAGTCAAATTTTCACTTCAACAGTAAAATCCTTTTTTTGTCCAATATCAAATTGGCCCCTCACATTGACTTACCATGTGTATTATGTTGTTTACTAACGTTCGCCCTCATTACAGAAGGCTAAAAAGACGAAAATTAAACTGCAGTGAGTAAGTATGTAATTTTAAATTAAATTGGAAGCAAGATGAAGTACAGGGAAGTTTTATTGTCTTGTGGATATCTTCCATGCCATTGGAAAGCAGTATAGGCAGCCAAAGGAGAAAAATGTTGTGTTTTGCATCATTAGTTAGGGTTATTTAGTATTATCCATTTAGCACCCCTGATTTTAACCTGCAGGACTTGTTGTGGTGTTTTAGGTGGAGATCGTGAAGGAACTTGATGGCCATGTACTGAAGTGTGTAAAAGACCAGAATGGAAACCATGTGGTACAGAAATGTATTGAGTGTGTGGACCCCATACACCTACAGTTTATTATCGACGCCTTTAAGGGACAGGTATAACAATTTGTTACGTTACACAGGTAGCTAACTAGAACCTTGTCCATTGTATCATTACGGTTAACCCTTTCACCCCTATGTAACTTTAATAAACTCTACCATACATTGATCTGGACAAGTCCATTATGGTCTACAGTGGTGAACAGGTTTAAAAGTAAATAAAAAAGGAGAGCAGCAACGTCTGTATTCATACTTGTGCCAGCTTGTATTGGCCTGCTAACTCTATACCATTAGGTATACTCCTGAAATCTAGATGATAAATCTAAACATTTTTTGACACGTATTGGACTTTGGTTCAGTTTTACAAGTGTAAGAGTTGATCATCTGGAGAATGGGAGATCGAGGAGAAATTCTACACTTAGATGTAAATCTCCCTATCTCTCCTATTGACTGATGGTTGACTCTTTTTCTCCAACCTCTTGCCTTGAAATTGGGTGAGAATCCACGATGACATTGTAAATGTAGCTAGCTTTCAATAGAGTAGATATTCTTCATACTATAAAAACTTTCAAACACATTTGGGAAGAGTGTGAAAACGCATGGTGTGACGTCCAGTACATTTGGATAGAGCAGGAACAAACATGGTATATCGAAAGTAAAGTTTAAAAGTAGAAAATTAGAAAAGCTTCACAGCAAGTTGTTCATTAATTTTTCTGTGAGGTGATGATACTGTCAGGGTTTGTATAATGATTCGTTGGATTAGGCTTTTATCATTGATCCATTCTCTTCGTTACTAGGTGCATGCCCTGTCGACGCATCCCTACGGCTGCCGTGTGATCCAGCGCATCCTAGAGCACTGTAACATGGAACAGACCAACCCCATCCTAGACGAGCTGCACCAGCAGATTGAGCGACTCGTCCAGGACCAGTACGGAAACTATGTCATCCAACACGTTCTGGAGCACGGCCAGCCGGACGACAAGAGCAAGATTGTGGTGGAGCTTCGTGGCAAGGTCCTCGTCCTCAGTCAGCACAAGTTTGCCAGGTAGGTTTAGATCTACTGGAACAGGGGGGAAAATGGATCGGGAGAAATTTCAGAGGGGTTGTTTCAGGATAATTTTGAGAAATCCTTGAATAAACCTATTTGAAATCAGGCTCATTTTCATAAATATTTGCGTCACAAGAAGAAGTTGAAAATAAATATTTGTAAATAAAACTAATATGACCATGTATCTGCAAAAAAATAAGTACAGTGATATTCCCGAAATATGAACAGGATGCTGGAATCTAAAATGATTGTCAAACTATTTGAATACTTAACTCGTTCACCCCTGAAGACACATTGGCACTCTTCGAATTCAAAGGTTGGAATAGATCATTATGGAGATGAATGAGTTGAATTAAAATTTAAGAGAGAATGTGAATAATAGGGGTCACAGAAAGAACGTGAACCTGCTCATATATATGTTATCTATGTTTGATCTTATTTAGGTAGTCATTGGAGTAAATCAAGCATTGTTAGACTTGATTTGACTTTCTGTATATCTAAAACAAGCTTGATATTATCTTTCCAGTAATGTCGTGGAGAAGTGTGTATCTCATTCCTCACGGGCAGAAAAAGCCATGCTGATCGAGGAAGTTTGCTCAATGAATGACGGGTAAATAGTTCTGTATTAGGATAACATCATGCAACTAACCACTAATACTATCTAATACTGTGTAATGAGGTGGTTTGCTCTATGAATGCTGAAAACTAGTAAACTCTATATTAATCTGGATAACATTCTATAACTAACAGCTTATTCTTTAGTATAACAAGTTGATGTGAGAGAGATTTAAATAACACTATCATTTAAAACTATCACCATATTCTGTCATCAAGAGCACCAATGAAATGATGTGAGAGATATTTAAATAACACTATCATTTAAAACTATCACCATATTCTGTCATCAAGAGCATCAATGAGATGATGTGGAAGAGATTTAAATAACACTATCACCATATTCTGTCATCAAGAGCACCAATGAGATGCTGATTTTAAGTGTTGTTTTCACATTACTAATTTCTTGGATGATTATGTGCATGTTGATTTTGTTTCTAAGATGTCCAGTTGTTGAGCTGAATGTGTTTCTAATATATAAAATTGTAATTGTCAGAAATATATGATAGTGTTGAGATAACTTCATGCAGAAACATTTCTCGTATCGTCTCCAGAAGCTACAAGAAGTGCCCCTTGACGACTCCCATTTACTACCAACAGTGTCTCTTGTCCATCATTGTTACATGAAGTGGCTTCACAATAAAGTCAGCCGATAGCTACTACAAGTGCCTTATTCCTGGGATGTCCTAGATAACATGTTGCTGCCATAAACTCCCAGTAGAGCTCTTAAAGTCTCCCCATAAAGTATACAGAGAGCTGTTGGAAATTTGTTACTCATGATGTGCCTAGTTAGCTTAAAAACTCTCTTCCATGAAATCCCTAGAAATCTAAAAGACTCTCCATGAAATCTGCATAAAGCTGAATTGTCATAAAGATACAAAAAAGCTACGAAAAGTTTCTCCTATGATATCCTGCAGAAAACTGCTTAAGTTCCCCTCTCCCTTTCCCATGAAGTCTGTCCCCGAGAAGTTCCTTGATCTCCAAGGTGTAAGTGAGACATGTATTGTCTGTTTTGAAGACAGAGGGTTTCTATACATTGCAGACCTCACAGTGCCTTGTACTCAATGATGAAGGACCAGTTCGCCAATTACGTGGTGCAGAAGATGATTGACGTGGCGGAGCCCACACAGAGAAAGATCCTCATGCACAAGATCCGTCCCCACATTGCCACACTGCGCAAGTACACCTACGGCAAGCACATCCTGGCCAAGCTAGAGAAATACTTCATGAAGAACAGCTCCGATCTTGGGCCTATTGGTATGCCTCCAAACGGAGCCCTTGCATAGTACTATAATACCGAATCTAAGAAAGAGACTCCAAATGGGAGTTTTAATCTAGCATGGGCCCCAAATGGGCGATTTTTGTCTGTTTTAGACTTGATATAGTTAACTTCAGATTGGATTCCTGTAGAGGTGTCAATGTTATAAAGTATAGGGCCCAAATTCTGTTGCTTCATATCGGTAGTCAACTTGAGAGTAGGACCCTTTAAGAGACTTCTGAAAAGGAGATATTTGTTTGTTTAGACCCCACCCAAATATTATTAATTCATATAGTGAACTTCAAACTGGACCCATTGAGAGGCCTCCAAGTGGGGGAATTGTTTTCTAGTGATATCTGGTACCCATTTTTGATGCCTCCAACTTGAGTTTTTTAAGCTCAATGTCTGGTTAAGTGTGACCTTGAGCCAATGCAGAAACCTGCCAAAAGAACCCTCGTTTGGTAGAGTTCACACCTATCAAACCAAAAAGGGCCAGTTCAGAACCTGTTTGTTGTCCCTTAACCCTTTCACCACTGTAGACTATGATGGACTCATCCAAATCAATGCATGGTAGGGTTTAGTTAAGTTACATAGGGGTGAAAGGGTTACAGTGTACCATTTGGGACCTACGGTATGCGCCTGAGATGCATACGTCATTTTGGAACAAGTTTAGACTCGGACCTATTTGGATGCCTCTACCTTTAGGGTCCCATCATTTAGGCAACCATCTAAAATTATACGACCTTTTAGATAACCTTCCATCCCTGCTAACTACAGAAAGGGCTTTGCTTTAAATGTTCCATCCTCTTGGCAGATTTAGGTTCTCAAGAACACGGGATGGAAGGGTGATTTTGAAGCTTGCATGTTGAAATGAGAAATCATGCAACTTTTCCATTCACTTCTGTTATTCACTGTATGACTGCTTCTATTTCATCAGTACTTGATTATATTAATACATTTTTGCGATTGTGATGCAATCAAATATTACATAACATGAATATTTTGGATGGTATTCCAAGTTTACACTCTGTGTAATGAGGAGTTGCGAAAATGAAAATCGGATGAAATTGAAGATAGGTTCTTGCTATTTTTGGGCAATACTTCATTTGAAGTGGTGAATGATGCTTAAACACTAATAGATGAAGGCTGAATACCGGGTGTAGGTCTTGCATTGTTCCTGTATGTTCTGCTATCTTTAGTTGGTAGCTCAATATTGTCAATTTTTGTTTTGAATTATTTTTCCTCTTGTTTTTCTTTCAATTATTATTTTTTCTCGTTTTAGTTTAGAAGATGCCAAGTTTGGCACCTTAATTTGTTCTTGCCACTCATTGTTTGTGTGTACCTGTATGCTGTTTAAAATTGACTGCTGGGAAGTGGAGACAGTAGATGCTGTCAGGGTTTCTCTGGGAGGGGGGGAGTTCAGCATGGCTGGGTTTTGATTGTGTGGAACCATAAGAGAAAATTCATACAACAAAGATTGTACTATTCATTTGATACTGTAGGAATTATTTATGGGGTACCTTACAATTTTAGGGACTACAGTGATGCGTGTCCTAATCTTGGCTTCATCTCAAAGTGGAGTTGGTAGTTTTGAAATAGGTTTGACATTTAAGTTGAAAATGTCGGTTACATACTTTGAATCATTTTGTGACATTTTATTGTCAAAATGAATACGAAGTAATCAATATAATTAGATATTAAACAGGGACCTTAAGTACTGGACCTAATATCATGGTGTTAAAATGTGGAAATCTCAATCAAGACAAATTAGCGGATCTATTCAAAGCGTGATCAATGTGCACAAATTCTTTGCCTTTTAATAGTCTGCAAAAGAATTAATAACTTAAATTTTGACCCCCGATAATAGATGGCCCTACAGCATCCCATATCAGTATATAAAAAAACGAGGTTTTATGTCTCAAATTTGAATGGACCAGGCACAAACATGGTTATATAGATGACTCATCATAGTGATGCTGGGTAAAGAAACTTAGTATTACAAGGGCCGTTTTTGTTGAAAAAGTTAAACTGGTCGGACCACAGTTGTTTGTTTGATAAATAATGCCGGACCTAGTAATCTGATGCTGCTTTCAGATGAGCCTTGGCAAAGCATTGCAAGGCCTGCATAAACGTTTGTAGGTCTGCCAGGATTTATTCCCGAAAAATTGTTACATTTAAAAAACGGACAAACCAATTGTTTCCACATTAACGAACAGGCCCAGAGTGTGTGTACGTAGGTCACTAACAATACTGACCTAATGCACAGACCGGTTCTCACTGGACCAAAGTATTTACCTGTGTCGAGAGCTAAAATCAAACGGATCTCTATACAATTTCATAAATCTTAAGATTCAATGATGCCTGCAGTAAAGAGGTTGATATCTGCAGCATATATTCAGTATATATAAGTTATTCCTTCATAAAACACACGCAAGCACGCATACACAGAGGTACGTCCTTAAATGACCTTAGCTGCTAATAGGACGTTAAACAAAATTAAACCAAACTAAGACATGCAGTATGCGCTCGGTATATGCAAACCTAGCATATAGCATGTCAAACGTTGTAATTAGGTAAATTGATTACTGGTATATTATAATATTGTGATGTTTTTACCTATAGGTCTTCTGTATATTTATGCAAAAATAAGTATAAATTTAGATATTAAGTATAAATTAAAGTATAATAGAATAAAAAATGAAGTAACATTTGTATCATTGTACAATCATTAAGTGCAACATCGGGATACTCTATACTACATGAATAGTATCATAAAGATACCTTGCAAAATGTCACGTTGACAACAATGAAGTCAAATGTTAAATATAAAAATGAAATTATGGTGTTTTTATTGGAAAAGTGAAGCTCAACGTTTGACTGAGGGTTGTAGTGAAGGAAAGTAGCCTTTGTGTTAAATTAGAAATGAAGTTATGGTGTTCAATTTGAAAGGTGAAGCTGAATGTTTGACTGATTTCTTTTGTGTGAAGCCTATCCTCTTTTGTATTGTATAAACTGTTACACACAGCTGTGTTAGGTGTAGCTGTTTTATCAAGTCCATATTCTCAATCAAGTTTATCACTTAATAAAATGCATCCTATTGGAATGATGTTTTAACTTTTACTGATCAGCAATAGCTAATTTTTATGTATAAAATTTTCATATTCCTACCAAATTTCAAGACAATTTATATACATGGTGATTTTTAAAATAAATCTATAGTTGGGAAGAAATGTTAAACTTGAAAATGTGAAATGTACAGTGATTTCTAGCAGTTTAGGATACATAGATATTCTGCAAGTCTGTTTTTCGTGCAGAAATACTGGTTGTTATGTACAGATATAAACCTCTCGGATGACTGTTTTGGTGGCTTTCTGTGAATAGTGAGGTCGACTTGTGACTTTAATTCTTTTTTAATGTGCAAAAAACTTGTATATTGAAATATATAGTGTTGTGAGTGTGTGTATCTGTCTTATGTGTCTCCGCATCAAATGCATGTATTAGTCCTTTCTAACAAAATATTGCTTGCAAATGTCCAGAAATCTGGAATTTCAATTAGCAGATATTGATGTTTTCTTCTCTTTGGTTTGATTGCACTGCAATTCATTTGAAATCCCAAAGCATGCAGATTTGTTCAGAAGAAAATATGGCAGGCTCAGATGCTGCTTTAGTGTAGAATAATAGAATATGATGCAATATGTAAATATATATTGCATATATATATACTATCCTGTTCGTGATTTTTTTTGGTTTCTAAAGAAAATGAATATGGAAAGAAAAGTCTCTTTTAGAAGATAGAAAAGGTAGTATAAAAGTTTGTATTCAAAAGATCATATGTTCAGTTGCAAACCTTTGTCAAGATCTGACTAGGTCATGAAATCCTGTCAAGTGACATATGTCCAACTTTGGCCACTTCTGTTGCTGGATAGCTATTAAGGCTTAGTTGATATTTGATGTATATAAGTGAGGAATCTGTATAGACTGGTGCAATAGATAATGTTTTGTTGGGTCTGATCACAGTTACAAGTTGTGTAGTAATCTTTGTTTGAAATTGATCGTTTCCTCCGGCTTCAAAAGCCATTCTCTGAACAGTTTAGCAATCAAGAGTCGCACTAGACTTTTTACTTCGGGAATTATACATTCCGTAGATTTGTTACAGTTTTACATGTGTACAGAAATTTAAAAGCATTTTGTAAATACTAGTGTAGAAAGAAACTGGAACAAGATAAATTTATATCTTGTTTAACTGGGAGATTGCAATCTCTTTCTGATGGTAGTTCCATGTGACATAAAACCGAAACAGTTGTCTGAGAGGCTTTCTTATTTGTTCTGTCTCATCTGAAGTGCTGTAGGTCAAATCATTTTAATTCTTTAATTACTTGCTGTTGTAAGATGATTTCATTTCGTAATAATGTAAAATTGTGAAGTAACAGAAGGATTGATATGAGACGCAAGGTTTTTAGCTTTAATGAGTCAAACAAGTATGAAATGACTTAAAATATATGAGAATTTTTCCTCCATGTTAAACCTATAAAACTTTGTGTTTACATTTATCAACTAAATTGTGAATTTTAAGGACAGCTGGTACGCTCGAGCTGCTGAAATTATTTATATACAGTACATTGCTGTAATTCCATCTGCAATTGAATCTCTACCACAAAAACTACGAAAGTAAATACGAGTCAAATGTTTCATGCAATTAAGTATATAATATAAGTCTCCCAACAGTATGAATAGGTCTCCATATATCACTGACCTGCAATAATGAGCAAACCACCTTAAATGGCCTCTGCATTTCGATCCGGGCCAACAAGAGTGATTTATACAAGTTAAAATAAAAAAATTGATAACTGTTAGTTAAATATAGTTGATTTTTACGAAACGGCCAGTGACTATATAGAAAGTCATATTTTTAGCGTACTTCTGGAAAGCTTGTGTTTCAGTTGAATCCTTCTGTTGCTTCCTGTGTGTAAATAATAAAACATGTAAATCAGAACTGTATAAAATGAATACTTCCCTTGTACACATGTATAGCTTGTTAGTGACTTGTCCATACGTCACAACACACGACCCTCCTCCATACTCCAGGGATTACCCTCACTTTTGTTCTCTGCACCCCTGGAATATGGCATAGCAAAATTAAAGCACACGTCTTGCCATTTTTTGGGTAAAAAACCTTGACCAATTGCTAGGCTGATAACTGTTCTTTGAAGATCACAGAGAAACGACACTCATCTTAAAAGCCAGTCAATTTTACCTTTACACGACTGGCAAATTCTTTTGATGTATGTACATCAAAGTATCAAACTAGTCTGCTTGTCTTATTCACAAGGCGGTGCACACTGAGCCTTCATTTTTTTGCTTACATATTCCAGGTTACTCCTATAACATAAGAGACTGTGATGTCGCCTGTCAAAAGTATCGTGCCGTGTAAACCTCTAACACTGTTGGAGTAAGTCCAGGGGTGCAGGGAGCGGAAGTGAGTGTTATCCTTGGAGTATCGAGGATGAACACATGACTTACTACTGAACATATGTGAATAGTCTCCATATTTCTGTACAGATCGAACCATTGTCGCAAAACTTTCACTGAAGCCATAAACAAATGAGTAAGGGAGTTGTAACTTTATTCTGCTTAAGAAAACGAAATTGTGCATTACCCTGGTAAATAGTTAAACTTTCAGGGTCAGTTAGCTACTGAAACGGGATCTGTCCTGTTTGGATATCTTCCAGGTTTAATTGTCAGAATTTTACATTTAAAATAGTTAAGCAGTGTTGAAAATAGTTATCAATTAAATTAAGGAGTAAATTTGAATTTGCAATCGACATTGCCTTGAAAAAATGGGCATTGATGTAATAATATAGCTTAGGTTGAACTATGACCTTAAAAATATCTTTTCACATGTATGAAATTAAGCTTAGCTACAACATTTAAAGATAAAAACAATCATTAGTTCTTAAATCAATATGTATATTAGCAAAGTTAATACATGTACCTGTGTAATAACAGTCATTTTGTAAAATAGTTATCACTGAGCCTGTCGCCACATGTATTTTACAAATAAGCCGGATTGGTGCTAGATGTATTTTTGAAGTATTTAACTCCATTGTACAAAGAGTAAATATCCTGTATACAGTGTAGCAAATGTTGATGTGAGTGGACAATTCAACATTTAACCCATTCTAGTTTCTCCTTTTAAAAGAATATGTTAAAGAATGGCCTTTTGATAGTTCTATTAGATTGTTGTACATACTTTCTTGTTGAAAAAATTCAAATAATTACCAAAGACATCGACTCATCCACCCCTAAAAACACATTTGAACTCTTCCAATTCAAAGGTTGGAGTTGTCCATTATGAAATTTCAGGGATGAATGAGTCGAGCGTTAAATTTCATCTTTAGGCCTAATTTCCTATCTATGCCAAATACATGTACATGAGCAATATTACTATCAAGGTAAAGACATAAATTGTGTAGACATTTTTTTTTTTCAGTTAACATACTTTTCATTTCCCCCATTCATGTGTACAAAAACTGCATGTATATTTGTGTATATATTCAAAATGTCTACAAGACATATTTAACCATTAACAAAAAACGTTTTGAAACCATGGCATGTACATACTTGAGAGATGTTATTTTTTTAAAAGGAGAACAACACATTGATGTATATAGATCTAAGTACAAAACGGCCAAATTGTCTGATGAGATATGTTCATACCTCGATGCCTCTGAATATCAACATTTTCAAATGCTGATATTTGTTTTTCCAGGGTGTGATTCTTATTATATTATGGGACCAAGCTTAAAAGAGTTACACTTAG